GAACAAATGGTTACTCCTAATAGATTACGTAGTATAAAATTGGGCCTTAAAATTAGGTTTCTTCATCATAAATCACAACATCAATGTGTTTTCTAATCATAGGAAATGATGAAAAGCAACTTAAATTATCAAATACTACGTACTTCTTTTTACTTCTTTTACATTTCTAATTTTTAATATTTAGTTAGATTCTCATTTGATATCAATCAAAAATGTTTTGTTTGTTTCCTTTAACCGACCTGGCTGGTCTCATTATATACATACTTCCCTTATATCTAATTAACCCTAACATTGCAGGACCATTATCAAAATGAATCCCCAGCAATTGCAATTCCATTAAGATTTCATGATCCAAATCACAGTCTCGGAGAAGTTAGGATGTTTTTACTTGGACTGTAATTTGCCCCAGACCAGACCAGACCAGACCAAATCAGTTCAGACCAGACCAGACCAGACTTGGATAGTTATAAAAATACAAAGAAACCAGACCTTACCAGACCAGACCAGTTCAGACCAGACCAGACCAGATCAGACCAGACCAGACCAGACCAGCAAATTACAGTCCAAGTAAAAACATCCTTATTCACTTTACGATCCCAGGACTCCCAACAATCGAGATACCTGCATTTGAGGTAACTCATATATACAAACTTCTGAATTACCCTTTTGGTGTAAGTATGTTTAGAACATTAATCATGCCAATTGTGTGTTGAAGTGTCCCACACCGCAAAACTATAAAATAATAAAACACTATATAAGTTTTTGGGCTACTCCTCATATCAGATCATTTAGGATGGAACTCCGGGTCTTAACATAGTATCAGAGACAATTCCGGTTGTGGTTTGACTGTTTATTTAGCACCCATGATTACGGGTAGCTTGTTAAGAGTCTGTTTGGCCCATTTATACACCCCAATATTATTCAGCCCGGTTCGGGCTGAGGGGACGTGTTGAATTATTTGTTCCACACCGGAAATCTATAAAATAATAAAACACTATATAAGAAAACATTTTAGGATGGAACCCCGGGTCTTATAAGAAAAAGAACCATTTCTTTGAAAACATGCATACGTACTGATGATCAAGCATTAAATAAAGCGCTACAAGTTCCGTTTTGATGATAGAGTCTTTGACTGTTCAGGACCGATATGAAGTGAGGGAGGAGGAAGAAGATGATGATGTTGATGATGATTACGACACCTTAGATGAGGTTTGTAGTTTTTTTGTACACATTAATGGTTTATACTATCTAATCACTACACGAGCTTAGGGCGTATTTAATTAAGAATTGAAGACATGTTTATAAGATTTGATGCTTTTAAGTAGTTTATGCAATAGATCGAGTGATCATTACGTACTCTACTACTTGCATAGTCCATAAGTTATGCCAATTTTTTTGCCATTAAGAGAAAAGTTAATTTGTTTCATTAAAAGCTGAATACAAATTTTATAGGTAGGACAAAATGCAAAAGAGAAGCTAGCATACATACAATTTAGTGAAGTACAATTCTAGTACTCCGTATGACATTTTAAAATCATCGTAGTTGAGCAATGAGCATGCACGAAATATGCACATAACATCCACGACTCACGCACATATCAACGAGTTAGTGTGATCAAATACTAACGTTGCAATAAGAATAATTTATAACTTGTATGAAAATAAATGTAAAAGTTACTTAATTAGTTTTTTAAAAGTTGATCCTGACTTTTGAATTAATTTGTAAATTAAATGGTTGACTGAGAATATTTCAGGAAGACGACAACAGTCCGAGAATTTCATCATGCTGCATTTGTATGGTAAGTAAAACTGACATTTAATTTACATTCTACAACTTTAAACAAATTATTTGATTTCCCAATTAATCTCTTATGGTGTCAATATGTACGTGTTTCCATGCATGCAGGCAGATTTTAGTGATGGTGAAGTGGTGGGAGATTTGGAGTGTGGACATAAATACCATGAATCATGCATCCGCGAATGGCTAAGGAGTAGGAATACTTGCCCTCTTTGTAGGAAGATAGTAAATATTTCCAAAAATTAGTTTAATTAGCGAAAATGACATGTATATTACTATCAGAGTTTTCTCGGACAAAAATATGACTAGGTATATTTTTTCACAAAAATATGACTAATCACTATGTACAAGTAACTGGGCAAGAGTCACTACCATATATTTTAGAGTGACGGGTCACTGGTAGATGATGAGTCACTGAAAACTGGTCACTGAATATGTCACTTTTTTGAAAAAAATTTAAAATAAGTCATATTTTTGTCTTTTGAATTTAATTTAGTAATATTGGTGAAAAATCCTTAATTAGCATTTTAAAACTATTATAATGACCATGCAATGCTATTAGTTACGGGCCAGGCTTATATACGAAGTATATGCCAACATCATTTTAATCCCCTTTGAGTTAACTCACTTGCACTGGTGAAAATGTCATTAGGCGGGGCTTGATAAGACATGCGGGCGGGCGGGCAGCGCTTTTAGATGCCTTGTAACTCGGTGCCCGAAATCAAAATTTAACAATGCTTATTTTCAAAAATGTGTTGCAAAGTTTGCTGTGTTTTACCGTTATAAGCGCCACATATTTTAAAAAAGTGTCGCAACGTTTGCTGTGGTTTAACGGCTCATTTGTTTTTAATTTGGTTGCAATTTTCCAGGGCATATTATCCTGTTTAATTAGGGATTCACACAATGCATGCATAATGCACTTATGCACGTTTTCTTCACACTGTCAAATGCACGTTTTATTTACAGCCCAGATAGATGGAATATAATATACTATCGTATACAGTATCAGATTACGTACTACTTAACATTTATTCACACAATGCACATTGCATAATTCACGTTTTATTCAAGTTTCAAACTCCAAGCCCAATCTCTGCTCCAATCTCATCTTAATTATAAGTAGAAGACCAAATTGTAGACCACTAACTACTTAACATTTATTTAACCCATAATTAAACTAAAATGGAATCCGCAGCCCGCGGGAACTCTCAAACTCCTTCAGGCAGGGCGGAGCAAAGTGGCAGATCATATTCCGGCTGCGATGACGAGAAGGTTGAACAGGCTGGCGTAGCAGCATTTCCCGGCGAACTAAGATATCAAGCAGCAGTGTTCAATACTATAGAAACGTACACACAAAAAAATCAATGAAACGTACACACTCCAACTCTTTGTCTCTCAAAAATAAGTCTTACATGGCACAATATAATACTTCCTCCGTTCCTTTTTATTTAGCCAAACATTATTTTTCAAGTGAATGACGTTAAACTTTGACCGATTATATATTAATATACTCTAGTATTGATAATATGAAAATTTATGAGAATATTCTTTGCAATAAATACTATCATACAATTTTTCATAAATATATTAGTTAAAAAGGGAGGAAGTAGTACAAGAAAACTGTAGCAACCAACGTGTTAATTAAGATTCAGGAGAATATTCCAAATGGTCAATCTGAGACAAACACTTCTACACAATTTTTACACAATGCACAACGCATAATGCACGTTTTACTCACACTGTATGCATGTTTTATTTACAGCTCAGATTACAGTATCAGATTACGTTTTGTTGGAATAATCTTAAATTTAGTTATTAATTATTTGGTTTACTTATTTATTAATTATTTATTTTTTATCATTAAAAAAATAGTTTGTTTTATTGTGTGCGTGGGTCATGTTGTCAGTTTCACATTTGAAAGTTTCTTCCGTATTGATAGGTTCATGGAGTAATAATAGGAGTAGTGGCTAGAAACTGATGTAATGACTTTATATACTTTCCAGCTTTGTTACTCCCTCCGTATCTTAAAAATCTTCCCACTTTCCTTTTTCGTCCGTAACAAAAAAATCTTCCCAATTCTAAATCTTCCCATCATACCCTCAATAATTCTTACAATAATACACTATTACAACTACTTTTTTTGGATTTATCCTACATTCCACCACATTATTCCACTATTTTCCCATCATACCCTCAATAATTCATATCATCTTTCACTATTCTTAATCTACCTACTTTTGAAATGGGAAGATTTTAAAGTTACGGAGGGAGTATTTTTTTACTTGAAGCAATATAATGAAAAACGAGATGATCCCAACTTCTGCTCTCAGTTTATTCTTTTAGCTTACACCATTACAATTACCGGTCTTTGAAATCAACATTTGGTATCAGAGCAGCATGATCTAAGGCTTGTGAAATTCATATATACTATCTATATATATATATTACGTATTTACTCTTCTTCATATTCTATGGCATCAAACAATTTCTCCATCTCTATCCCATTGTTCAAAGGTGATAACTATCTTTCATGGGCCATCAAAAGGGAAAACTATCAAATAAGCCCTCCTACTATAATCAAAACGTCAATTAAGTCCTCGTACTATCAAAACACTCAATCAAACCCTCCAACTATTAAAAAACATCCAATCTAGCTTTTTAGCAAGTCAACTACCGGTTACTCCCGGTATCCGCTGACATGGCTCAGCAAGTCAACCCACGCGTTAATTCTTCGTTGCTAGTTTGGGAAGTACATGACTCAGCCATCTCCCGTCGTCTCTAAAGCTTAGATCGCACCAACCGCCAATTGCTAACAATTAATCATTCAGACAAGCTCAAACTCCACCGGCTGCAGCTCAAAATACATCAGTCATAGAGCGCCATTGAATCTTCTATCTTCCATTCCTATCTTTGCAACCTCCTCTCTCATTCTGAACTCAAATTCAAGAAATCAACAGTACATTCTTCATCTTTCTCCTTTAAGTAATTGATCAAGATGGGAGTAAAAATTCTAAACTAGGAGTCCTTATTGATTTATTCCTTAAATAGGAGTTACTTGTTGACTGATCGGTTTCTTTTGTCAATTATACCCTTTTTGTAAATTAATTGATTTACTTTTCCGTCAGAACCTTTTCCGTTTCTCACGCAACCATTTAACCCCTTCATCCTCTCTGTTTTCACACACGCATTAACATCGATCTCCCTTCTCTCCCCTTTCATCTCCCTCCACCCCTATCTACTTAGAGTCTATTTTTACTTTTTAGATCTGGCTTTTTTCTCCCACTTCTCCATTTTTGCTGCTTATACGGTTTTGAACAGTGAGCTTTCTCTCCAATTCCGGCACCGGCAATCAGGTAGGTGAGTTTTTTTTATCTTCTTCTCCTCTGTTTCATTTTTCTTCTTCCTCTTCTTCTTCCCCTTCTTCTCTTTTCATTAATTTGTTCGGCGGTGGGGATGAGCCCTTTTGAATTTATGTATGATGAAGTTAAGTTCGGTGCTTGATTACAAAACACGAATTTTTTACTGATTTTGCTTTAATCTTTTTCTTTCTTTCCAGATCTATTCATTTTAGATTTGTTTTGTCCCGTTTTTTATTGCTCCTTTTGTTCTCTCTTTTACTTTTGTTTAGCTTTTGTCTTTTCGTATTTAATTTATGTTTTACAATACAGAATACTACGTATAATTTATGAGATTTGATTTCAAACAATATTTTTGTAATTTTTCAGTTTTCTGAATTGAATCAGAAATTGCAGCAATTGCTATTCTACTGTAGGGTTATTAATATGGAATTATTATTCCATTTTTTTTAAGCAAAAAAAAATATTTATTGCTTTGTCAATATAATATTAATAATGACATGTTTTGTGTGTAAAAGTATTGTTCTTGGCACATATTGCCTTTTTTGTGATACAAACTCCCTGACAAACACAAGACAAATATTGCCATATTTTTCATATAAAAATGTTATTTGGGCATATAATGCCATTTTTTATGGCACTAACCATATGACAGATGACAATATTTGACACTTGCCAATACAGATTTATGATGCCATTATAATGTCCAAATGACAACAAATCTTCCTTTGTTTTCATATGAATGGCATTATGATGACATTTAAGTTATCAAATGACATTTTAAAGCTAATAGATCTGAGAATGGTGGTAGAGTTGAAAGAGGCAAAGGTGACTAGAGCGAGGGACGCATATTCTAGTGGCAACCGTGGATGAGGCGGCGACGTCGGCAACATAGATGGCGGCGCGCCGATGACTGGCGGCAACAGAGGCACCAGCGTCGATGAGTGGAGGCAACTGAGATGACTGGCGGCGAAGTAGGCGGAGGCAGCGGCAGAGATGCAGTGGCGGTGATGTCCGGCGATGGCGGAGATCGGGGCGGTGATGTTTGGCAGTGGCAATAAGTTTAGGCGGTGGTGGTGTTGGCGTCAGATTTGTGGCAGGGAGGAACACTGAGTTGCATATCCTTTATCTATGATTTTGTTTTGTAATGTACTCCGTAATAAACATCGTAATAAACATGTAGGGTTTCATTAAGGGTAATTTGGTCAGCTCAAATTACTTTTACTTCAATTCAATGCTACGGGACATAGGACTCCTACTTTTGCACTTTAGTCATGTTTTACTCCCTTTTGGGGAATTATCTCTTCTCCTTTCTCAAACCCACTCGTTCATTAAATCCCTCTGCATTCTTAATTCGCAGAGATTTTTCAAGCCCAGGAAGAGAAACATCAAAGTCGGTACTACATCGCGTCGGCTCTTTCTCCGGTGGAAATGGTCGGTTTCCGGGTCGGATATTTTTCTGAAATACCATGCTTCTTCAGTCTCACCAACGCCGGGGAAAAACGTTTGCTTTTGGTACGTGTTCCCTAAATCAAAGAAGGAAGATGAAGAGTGAGAATGAGAAGAGGTATCATCCGTAAGAAATTTACTAATAATTTGGAGAATAGGGGTGGGGTTGCTTTTGGATCTGAAAAAGAGTTGAGGGAAGAGGAAGGGAGAAATCAGAAGCGGATGGGAAGATTTGAACTAATATGAAGTTTTCAACTTCGTGGCAACTCCCTCAAGATGCAAACCAGATGTATCTTTAGATTCTTTACAGAAAATCGTCCAGGCGGAGTTCGGCGGTGGGAATTCCGGCATGCTTCTCCTCCAGTTCTCCTTCGCCCTAATGTGGCAACGAAGACTGGGATTGAGGCAGCATCGGTCTTTCTTCTTGCTACAGGTCATCATCTTCGCAGATACTAAAACGGTCAGCTCGACGTATGAAACAATGGTGGGAGAAGAACAAAGAAACCGAGGAAGAAAGCTGCAGGAAGAGAAAAGAATAAAGAAAAAGTAAAGACAATAGAATTAAAAAAAAATTAGAAAACATTTAAAAACACATAGGCAGTCCATGTCGGCATTCAACCGGAAAACCGGGGGTTTACGGCCAAAAGAACTCAATTGAGTGTTTATTTAAAGTTCAAGGGTTCAATTGATTGATTTTCAAGTATAAGGGCCTAATTGACTTTTTTGCAATAGTAGGAGGGCTAATTTGACAGTTTTCCCGCCATCAAAATGAAAGCATATATGAAAGCTCTTAGTTTATGGGATGTCATTGAGAGTGACAGTGAGCCTACTCCTCTTCCAGGAAATCCAACAGTAGCCCAAATCAAGAAACATGAAGAAGAAATGGCACGAAAGCCAAAGGCACTTTCATGTATCCATGCAGCGGTGTTCGAGGAGATTTTCACAACAATCATGGGTTGTGAGTGTCCTAAAGAAGCATGGGAGAAAATCAAAGAGGAGTTCGAAGGCAACCAACAAACCAAACTCATGCAAATTCTCAACCTCAAAAGGGAGTTTGAGATGGTGGGGATGAAAAGTAACGAAGGTGTCAAAGAATATGGGAATAGGTTGATGTCCATTGTCAATCAAATCAAATTACTTGGTGGAGATTTTTCAAGTCAAAGAGTTGTGGACAAGCTCCTGGTAACTCTTCCGGAGAGATATGAGACCAAGATCTCTTCACTTGAAGATACTAAAGATCTCTCAAAATTAACCGTCTTAGAATTAATCAATTCTCTCCATGCCGTTGACCAAAGGAGATCAATGAGGGAGGAAGAAAATGGACGAAAAAATGAGGGACTCCTGTTAGCTAAATCTTCATTCTCAAAAGGAACTGGCAGCAAAATTCAATGCAACAATTGTCATAAGGTTGGTCATGAAGAAAAGGATTGTTGGCACAAGGGAAAACCACAATGCTTCAAATGCAAAAGGTTTGGGCATCTGGCAAAGAATTGTAGATTCCAAACTGATGACGAAGTCTTGGCACATATGGTCGAGGCAGAACCTCTCCTTTAGAATTATGGTGATTATGTGCACCATGGGGAGAAGTGCTCCAAAGTGTTTATTTTGATGAGACGTGCATCAAAATTTGGTGGTGGTGAGAAGTGCATCACAGATGAAGAGAAGTGCTTCACAAATTTAAGATTATGGGGGTGATTGTTGGAATAATCTTAAATTTAGTTATTAATTATTTGGTTTACTTATTTATTAATTATTTATTTTTTATCATTAAAAAAATAGTTTGTTTTATTGTGTGCGTGGGTCATGTTGTTAGTTTCACATTTGAAAGTTTCTTCCGTATTGATAGGTTCATGGAGTAATAATAGGAGTAGTGGTTAGAAACTGATGTAATGACTTTATATACTTTCCAGCTTTGTTATTTTTTTACTTGAAGCAATATAATGAAAAACGAGATGATCCCAACTTCTGCTCTCAGTTTATTCTTTTAGCTTACACCATTACAATTACCGGTCTTTGAAATCAACACGTTTTACGTATAACGTTTCAGATTACATACGTATATATTTCAAGTTTCAAATTAAACTTCAATCTGCGCTATTCTCAGCTTAATCATAAGCTGTCAAGCAGAAGAAGATCAGACTACTGCATACGGGCACGAAATATGCACATAACATGCACGAGTCATGCACATTAGTGTGTTTGACTTTGCAATAAGAACAATTTATTATACTTGTATGAAGAAATTTGAAATTCATTTTGTTTAAAAAGTTTATCTGGCTATTGAAATTGTTTGTGAATGGTCAATTGAAAATATTTCAAGAAGACGACAAAAATCTAAAAATTTTATTATGTTGTATCTGTTGTATAGTAAGTATAGCTGACATTTGCATCCTATAACTTTAATTTCTTTTTTTTTGGATCGGAATCTATAACTTTAAATATTGAAATACTACGAAAATCAATAATTTTGTTTTTCATCTAATCTGTAAAACTTAAACACCATCCACGCAGCAAGCAACTAGCTGAATCATCTCAACACTTGTTCAGCTTTGACCAAAAACAAACAAAACAATAAACATTTGTAAGCTTTGTTCAGTCGGATTAAACATATATAGAGAGAGAAGGGGATGATAATGCTCAGTCGTCCGAACGGGATCCTTTGTCCATCCGCCTCCATTTGAAATGATTCTCTCAAGTTTTTTTATGAGACTAGATTTTTCACCCGTGCTTCGCACGGGATGCAGTTAGTAAGCATTAATTTATTTGCGAATATATAGAAATATTGTGTAAATATAGAACAATGCATATATTGTTTCTAGCAAAAGTAAATGAAGATTAAAAAATTAAAAATTATTATATATTTCGTAATTGTAAACAACATTCAATGTCTTCTTGGTCGGGTTTTCCATCACCATCACGCATAGTAAAGTTCAACCCAAACGGGGACGTTACTTTTAAGACAATGACGTAAAGTTGTTCATGGCTGAAAATCGAACGACATAAGAAAATATCAACTATGTCCACAGATTGTCCAAGACTCTTATTAATGATTATCACGTAACTGAGCATCAAAGGGAACTGTCTGTGCTGAAATACAAATGGCAACTTTAGGTCAGATGGAGTCAAACTAAGCTTCGGACCGATTATAAACTTTTGTCTTCCATATGTGTACGACATCTGAATCTCAAGAATACGGATTCCTAGTTTAGTGATGATAAAGCGAGTGCCATTACACAATCTAGAATAGAGGAATGATCAATATTCTTCATTGGCATCACTGGTGCACCCACCTTTAGTTTCAGCTCATGACTTGGCACACCGGAAAATTCAACGAAATGCTATTGAGAAAATTTGGAGAATGGTCTCTTGAAAGAGTGCACTGTCTAATGAGAAGATGATGTTGAATCAGTGCTTAAATATGTCGAGTTATTTACATAAATTGATGGATTGAGCTCTTGATTTAATAGTTTGATCTCTAGCTTTATACGACATAGCTCTTAAAAGCTCTTATAAACGTAGCCTAAAATTTGAAAGTAAAAGCGAATATTCGGGAAGACAAAGTAGTTGAAAAATAGAAAAGTTGTTCTCCAGAAAAGCTGTTCGGAACTTAGGTTTTTTTTTTTTTCAAAAAATTAAAAAAACGATTTTCATCTTTTGGCTTAAAGTTTTGAAAAGTGTATTCAAGTGACAACTTCTACTCAAATTAAACATTTGAAACTTAAAAGCTAGTATCTAGTTTTTACGTTTTCTATTACACAAAACACATATTTCACCAAACACTACAAACTTTTAATTTCCAAAATAATTTTTTCTCAAACACGTCATAGACTTCCTACTTTTACTATTAAGCACTTTTTTGAAAACCACTTTAAAAAGTAATCTTTTTAAAGCAAAAGCAATTGCAAACACTCTCATAGAATTATTCAATTTTATTAAATGATAATCTTACTACATTAACTTTATGATATCGCAATTGCAATTGATCTAACATCTTGCTAATGATAATACGTAACATCTTACTTCCAAAGCCTCTGGAAGTTTTGGTTTGGTCATCCTCTCTTTGTGTACTCATTTCTAATTTAATAAAATACCAGCAAGTATTCCCCGACATTTGCCCCACTGATTGGTGATTTGCCTTCCGAGTTCAAAAAAAAACTTACTTCCAAAGCAAACTCTTAATTTGGGTTAATAGCAAGAAAAATGTTGAACCAGTAATCTACTTGAAAACAAAATAATGAAAACATAAATAACAATTTAGAACATTTAAATGAAAAACCCAAAAGTGAAACAAAAATTTAAAGGTAGATAGTAACTTATGGCTCCTTTATATTGACCGTTTTGAGCTTCTTAATAGTTAAATCTCGAGTGGATAAACCAACTTCAATTTTTAACAATCAATCCCATATTTGGAATGTCACTTAGATAATGATTGTGGAGTACTTTGAAGTTTCAATGTCCTCTATGTCTTGAGAAATAGGCGTCAGCATTAACATAAAGATAAAAAATATATCGTTCATGTTGATCACCCCACTGATGAACTTGAAGCTGGACAGGGTCCTCGGTGACTATCCCCGTGTAATCAAAGTAGGAATTCACTATCCAGGTTTGTGTTAATCTGGTGACCTTTATGTAAACTCTGGTGCCGCCAAATCCGGTGGCCTTATTGTAACAATGTATACCGGTCAAAATGCTTGCTTGGCCAGCAGTCATGATTCCAATGGAGGCCAAGAAAATCATGACATCCATCACCACATTTTCGTTTCCCTGCAAATCAATTACCGTCCCACCAATATTCCATTCCCCAAGATCGCCGCCAGCCGTGATGTGTTGACCGAGGAATGAATTTATGATGTAGGTCTCGCGACCGCTGTTGACTAAAATCCCAGTTGTAGTTTATTACCACTAAAATACAAAAATAATTGTTTTGAAACAGATAAAGGAAAAAAAGAATCCCAAACTCTACTTCTAACACCTATTATGAAAAACTAAAACGAAGAATCAGAGTTCAAAAATGAAAAAAATAGCTACAAATATGATTACTGGAATTAGGCCTGGACTCGGGCCGGGCGGCCCGACCCGGAACCGGCCCGGCCACTGTAGCAACCGGCCCGGCCCGGTGGCCCGGTCCACCGGCGGTTCGGGTCAAACCGGCCCGGTGGTTCCCGGTTCCGGGCCCGGGCCTTCCATATGGTGAACCGGCCCGGCCGGTCCGGGCCCGGTCCGGGCCGGATTTTAATTTTTTTTTTTTTTTTTTGAAAAATTTTTTAAGTCTTGGGTTGGAATAGGTATTTTGGGCCATTTGAGGTGGTTTGGGGTGGTTTGGGGTTGAGGGGGAGGGGTAGGGGATTAAATAGGAGAACCAAAAAAAAAAAATTAATTGGACCGGTTTGGCCCGGCCCGGTTTGGCCCGGAACCGGCCACCGGCGGTTCGGGCTCGGGCCTCCCCTTTCCTGGCCCGAGGCCCGGCCGGGCCCAGGCCCGAACCGGGCCCGAACCGGCCCGAGTCCAGCACTAACTGGAATGTAGTGTTGAACTTAGTGATACTGATTGCTGGATCACAAATCTATTTCTACTAATATGACCATATCTACAAAAAATACATAGAGGTTAAAATTTCAGGTTGAGAGTAAAGCAAACCCAGAACGACTAAGACCAAATAGTTATATAAAGAGATTTATAATCCTAAGAAGGCATATATGCTCAAGAATTTAATAATGTTGGCCAAACAAATTTTAAAGATATTCAGTACATGTAAAACAACCAAGAATATTTAAAAGAAATAGTCAAATATTGATCTAAAATATGAAGATTCAAAGAGTAGCATCCAAAAAAGTGAAAGTCATTTTCAAATGAAGTCATGTTTTATCTTTCCCAAGAAGCAGGTTGAAAGAGTAGCATTGTGAAAAAAGAATGTATCTCATTAAAGTCAAGATGATTTGCAAGCTAGAATGGATGAGTTATACGGAGTACTAAATAAAAAATCATCAAATCTGAAGCACAATCATCTGCTAAGGCTGAGATGCCTATAAACATCTTGTAAGTATAGGATAGTACAGTTTTATAGAAGAACTTAAACCTAATAGAGCTATTGGACTATTAGATTCATCCAAGCAGACGAAGATATATTAGACCTTGATTCATTTTGATCTAATCCTGATGAACCCGCCCATAATGTGTCAGACGTATCTTTCTCATCCATCTCCCTATTGTACACTGAAATTTCTTCCTCTAGTAAAGAGTTTCCATCAACAGATCTTGGTGGACAACCAAGTTCAGATACCTCCACCTGCAAGTCAGAAGCAATAGAATTTGGCAAAATAGTAATTTTCATCTATTCTGGCAATCTGGCGGCCTTCCTAACCATTTTCCTGGTTATCTGTAGTTATGTTATTTCTTGGAGCTGGAGGTGTACTAAGTGACTTTATGATTGCATTTTTATCAATTCTGTAAAATGGAACATCTTCTTCTGATTCTGAAGGAGACGAAGATGATGAACTTGTTCTATCATCATCAATATATTCACTTAGTACTGATTTTATTTGAACTTCTCCGTTATCTTCTTCATACTGAGTAGTAGAGACTGGTTCTTTGACATCGCTCGGACTCACATAGTTTAACTTCTCAGATTCTTAAACTGAACTTGGTTTATTAGCTCATCAGCGGCATCTACCTTGCGTGCTATTGAAAGTGTCAAAGCGTAAAACACAAACAAAAGAAGTTACTTTTGCAGTGACCATACCAGGAAATTGCTATAGGCTTTCAAGGCCTTGGCCGACATCCCCACTCCAACAAAAGGCTCAACAATTCCATACTCCTTGTAGTCCTTGCCATAATATACATTTAACGGGATTCAATGGCCATTTTATACGGTTCTGCTTTTTTCCATGGAGTATATGATTTATTTCCCATTTATTATCACTAATAATATGAAATAATGACCAAACTAAGACTCCCAGGAACTG